TCCTGACCTCATGATCCGCCTGCCTCGGTCTCCCGAAGTGTTGGGATTACAGGCGTGAGCCACCGCGCCCAGCCTAGTGATCCCTTCTATACAACATATTACAATACACTCATTCAAAAATACTACAAGTAGAAACTGTAATACCACAACACTCCCCTTGTCTTTTTATTTATGGCCTCTCTGATGTTTGGGATATGGTCATTGTTTGTTTGTTTAAAATACGGAATGCTTCACAAATGTGCATGTCATCCTTCCACAAGGACCATGCTAATCTTCTCTGTTTTTTTTTTCCTTTGTTCGTTTCAATATGGAGGCTCACTCATCCAGGCTGGAGTGCAGTGGTCTGATCTCAGCTCACTGCAAACTCCACCTCCCGGATTGAAGCGATTCTCCATCCTCAGCCCCCAGAGTAGCTGGGATTGCAGGTGTGCACCACCATGCCCAGCTAATTTTTGTATTTTTAGTAGACACAAGGTTTGTCATGTTGGCCAGGCTGGTCTCCAACTCCTGACCTCAGGTGACCTGCCCTCCTCAGTCTCCCAATCATAGGCTTTATTCTATTCTTATTCTATTTTACTCTTATTTTCTATCCGTTTTACTTCTTACTTCTACCTTCTACTCTCTTTTTTTTTTTTTTTTTTTTTTTGAGACGGAGTCTCTGCTCTGCTCCGCCCAGAACAGCTTGGGTGCAGTGCGTCCCGGATCTCAGCTCACCTGCAAGCTCGCTTCCGGGTTCGCCGCCATTTGCGTCCTGCCTCAGCTCCCGGAAGTAAAGCTGGGGGACTACAGCCGCGCCACCTCACCCGGCTAGTCTTTTTTGGTACTCTCCGTTTCGGGTTCCAGCCACCGGGGGGTTTCACAATGTGTACGCACCGCCCCGATGGTCTCCGGATCTCCTGACCTCCCGCTGATCACTGCCCGTCCTCGGCCTCGCAAACCAGGCTCCGCGCCGCATTACGCGTGCTTGAGCCACGCGGCCCTACTTTATTTACTTTCTTTTGGACCAATGGGTCTCACTCTGTCACCCCTCAGCGCTGGACGTGCAATCGGCGCAATCTCTGGCTCAGCTGCAACCCTCCGCCCTGCGGTTCCAACGTGGATTTCTCCTGCCTCAGCCTCAACAAGTACATGGGATTACAAGCTGTGCACCCACCACACCAGGCTAAGTGTTGTTGTCATCTCTTGTGTTTCTCTTTTTTTTCTGGCTTCCCTTCCTTCCGAGGAGGCACACTACGTCTCCCGCTCTGTCGCCCAGCGCTGGAGTCGCAGCTGGCGCGATTCTCGGCTCACTGCAAGCTCACGCCTCGCAGGTCTATGCCATTCTCCTGCCGCTCAGCTCACAACGTAAGCTTGGGACATACAGCGCCACGCACCATCGCCGGCTACACTTTTGTATTTTTGTAGGAGACAGGGTTCCCATCCGTAGTTAACCAGGATGGTCTGGATCCCTGATCTCACTGGATCACCCCGCCTTGGCTCCAAAGTGCTGAGATCTACAGGGTAAGCCCACTGGTCTGGCCCTATCATTCTTGTAATTTTCTTGAACTACGACGAATGCGCCGGTTCTCCACATGCGTTGGCAGCGCTGGTCTTGAACTCCTGCATACGGGATCCTGCCTGCCCTCGGCCTCCCATAAATGCTGGGATTACAGGCTGCGAGCCACCACGCCGACCCATAGGTTTAATTTTTGATTTGACACATAGCCTTATGCTCATTCAGGCATGGTTTGTACATTTCTTTTCTTTTCTTGCTCTTTTTTTTTTTTATTTTTCTGAAAACAGACGGTCTGGCATCCTCCCGCCCTCCAGGTTCAAGGGATTCTCCTGCTCTCAGTCTCCTGAGTAGCTGGGGATTACAGCGGGGTACCACCATCGCCCAGCTCGCTTTGTGTGATTTTAATCTAGAAACACCGTTCTCTCACCACTGCTCTTGGTCAGGCTGGTCTCGACACTCCTGACCCTCCGTGACCACTCGGCCTCCCAAACCTGCTGAGATCCAGGCGCAATCGCCACTGGGTCCCAGTTCTTTCTTTTTTTTTCCTCTTTTTCTGAGAGGGACTAATTGCTGGTGTCCCACCTGCGGCTGGTAGGTGCAGTGGTGCGATCTCGGCTCCCTACAACCTCCACCTCCCAGGTTCGAGCCATTCTCCTGCCTCAGCCTCCCAAGTGGCTGGGACTACAGGCACGTGCCACCATGACCGGCTAATTTTTCTATTTTTTGTAGAGATGGGGTTTCACCATGTGGGCCAGGCTGGTCTCAAACTCCTGACCTCAGGTAATCCATCCACTTTGGCCTCCGTCAAAAAAAAATTTTTTTGTGAGTGAGGCTCCGTCCGAAAAAATTTAAAAAAATAAAGAATATCCAAAGAGTACTGTTTCGCCTAGATTAGGGGAAACATAAGCTGCCAGGGGGTAATTATAGTAGTTGGGGCCTGCAAGTCCTAGGAGGAAGGAAAGAGAAGGTGCCCAGAAGCAGGCCCTGCCCATCAAAGTATGATGTAGGTTGATTAAGAAAGGAAAAGAAGGCCAGGCGTGGTGGCTCACACCTGTAATCCCACCACTTTGGGAGGCCGAGATGGGTGGATCTCGAGGTCGGGAGTTCAAGACCAGTCTGGCCAACATAGTGAAACCCCATCTCTACTAAAAAACACCAAAAATTAGCTGGGTGTGGTGGCGGGCGCCTGTAGTCGCAGCTACTCGGGAGGCTGAGACAGGAGAATCAGTTGAACCCAGGAGGCAGAGGTTGCAGTGAGCCAAGATCCCACCATTGTACTCCAGCGTGGGCAACAGAGCGAGACTCCATTTTGAAAAAAAGAAAAAGAAGAACTAGCCCCTGCCTAGGTTGCCTCAGTGGGACTTGAGAACTGACTGGATGTGGATGAGAGCTGAGTCACAGGAAGGGACAAGAACACGCTCCTGGGAAACTCTTGCTCAGTTAAGACACAGCTCAAGCATCCTGTGCTCTGTGAAGCATTCCTGCTCAAGTCTCTCCTGTTACCCCCAGGACAGTGTACAGGACCCCAACAATGTGATGTGCAGGCCTTTGAGCACCTTTAGGGCAGTGATTTTTGTTGTGTTTACCCTTCTTTCCCCAGTGCCCACCACGAGATCCCACCTTTAAAAATAAATGTTGAGGCTGGGTGTGGTGTCTCATACTTGTAATCTCAGCACTTTGGGAGTCCTAGGCAGGTGGATCCCTTGAGCCCAGGAGTTCAAGACCAGCCTGGGAAACATGGCAAAACCCTGTCTGTATGAAAAAATACAAAAATTAGCAGGGTGTAGTGGCACGCATCTGTAGTCCCAGCTACTTGGGAGGCTGACGTGGGAGGATCGCTTCAGCCCAGGAGGTCAAGGATGCTGTGAGCTATGATCACAGCCTGGGTAACAGAACAAGAGCTTATCTCAAAAACAAAAATAATAAACAATTTACTTTGGGAGACCAAGGTGGGCAAATCACGAGGTCAGGAGATCAAGACCATCCTGGCTAACACAGTGAAACCCTGTCTCCACTAAAAATACAAAAAAATTAGCCAGCTGTGGTGGCTGGTGCCTGTAGTCCCAGCTACTTGGGAGGCTGAGGCAGGAGAATGGCATGAACCCGGGAGGCAGAGCTTGCAGTGAGCTGAGACCGTGCCACTGCACTCCAGCCTGGGCAACAGAGCAAGATCCAGTCTCAAAATAAATAAATAAATAAATAATTTTAAAAAATAAACAATTTGCTGGGCGCAGTGGCTCACATCTGTAATCCCAGCACTTTGGGAGGCCGAGGCGGGAGGATCACAAGGTCAGGAGATCGAGAACACGATGAAACCCCGTCTCTACTAAAAATACAAAAAAAAAAATTAGCCGGACGCGGTTGTGGGCGCCTGTAGTCCCAGCTACTCAGGAGGCTGAGCCAGGAGAATGGCGGGAACACGGGAGGCGGAGCTTGCAGTGAGCCGAGATCGCGCCACTGCACTCCAGCCTGGGCGACAGAGCGAGACTCCGTCTCAAAACAAAACAAACAAAAAAAACAATTTAAAATGCTGGGTGCAGTGGTTCATGCCTGTAATCCCAGAACTTTGGGAGGCTGAGGAACGAGGACTGCTTGAGCTCAGGAGTTTGAGACTAGCCTGGGCAACATAGCAAGACTTCATCTCTACAAAAAATAAAAAATTACGCCAGATGCGGTGGGCCTGTAATCCCAGCGCTTTGGGAGGCCGAGGTGGGCGAATCACGAGGTCAGGAGATCGAGACCATCCTGGCTAACACAGTGAAAACCCGTCTCTAGGCCAGGAGCAGTGGCTCAAGCCTGTAATCCCAGCACTTTGGAGGCCGAGACGGGCGGATCACGAGGTCAGGAGATGGAGACCATCCTGGCTAACACAGTGAAACCCCGTCTCTACTAAAAAAAAAAAAATACAAAAAACAAACAAACAAAACAAAAACCCGTCTCTACTAAAAATACAAAAAATTAGCCAGGCATGGTGGCGGGTGCCTGTAGTCCCAGCTACTCGGGAGGCTGAGGCAGGAGAATAGCATGAACCCGGGAGGCAGAGCTTGCAGTGAGCGGAGACTGTGCCACTGCACTCCGGCCTGGGTGACAGAGTGAGACTCTGTCTCAAAAAAGAAAAAATAGCTGGGTATGGTGGTCCATGCCTGTGGTCCCACCTATTCAGGAGGCTGGGGTAGGAGGATCACAAGAGCCCAGGGAGGACAAGGCTGCAGTGAGCCATGATCGTGTCATTGCACTCCTGCCTGGACAGAGACTCTGTCTCCAAAAAAAGAAATCAGATAAATAAATAAAAATAAATGTTAGTGGAAGAGAAGAGAGACAAGAGGGTTCCTGGATTACAGGAATAGAGGAAGGCTCAAGGATATGTGTCAGGAAAGCTGACTTTATTCTGTTTCCTGCACACCTACACCGAGTCACTGGTCAGAACTGCTGTGGACTGGATGCCCGCAGAAGAATCCAAGGATTCGGCAGGTGGGAAAGGCAGTGATGAGGCAGACAAGACAGCTATGCAATCGCCATGTTTATGTTGGCATGTACATTGATTACACATAAACTGTATATTTACATAGGAGAAAGGGTACAGGCAGGCTGAGGATTCCTGGAACAAGGGCCTTGCTGAACACTGAAGTGGCAGGCACTCCGCTGAAGCCTACAGGGCAGGATGGTAGGGGCAGGAGTTGAAGTACAGTCTTCTGGGCAGAGAGGTGTGCAGCCACATGGACAGCTCTCTGGAAAGGGGTGGCTCTCCTGAGGATGGGCCAGGGCAGCCAGGCGCTGCTGTACACACTCAGCCGTCAGCCGTGCTTCTGGGTCTGCATCCCAACAGTCTTCTAGGAGCTCCCTCAGCCCATCAGGATCCTGGGAGGAATGACAGGGAGGGAGGGTTGACTCTAGGATCTTGAGTGGGCCCCAGGGTTAAAAGGCATCTTCAGTGTCCATCACTTGCCTGCTTTCAACACCCACTTCTGATCTTTCCTGGAGCCTCCCTCTTTTCCCTCTTGCTGAATTCCAGCCTTCTGAATCTTGTTCCCTATGAAACAGGCTCTGCAGGGGCCTTCTGTACAGCCCACTGTTTCCTCTGAGGAGCTAATATAGGTTGAAAGCTTAATATGCTAATGGGAAATTACTCTCTTTCCTCTCAGAGAGCCAGAGTCTTCTGCAAGTAATGCCCAGTTTCTGTTAGCTAACTTAACACTTGTGCCGTGGAAATTTCAGATCAGGTAGCAGAAGGCACATTCTGTTAAAAAAGTATTTGTGGCCAGGCGCGATGGCTCACGCCTGTAATCCCAGCACTTTGGGAGGCCGAGACGGGCGGATCATGAGGTCAGGAGATCGAGACCATCCTGGCTAACATGGTGACACCCCGTCTCTACTAAAAATACAAAAAATTAGCCGGGCACGTTGGCGGGCACCTGTAGTCCCAGCTACTTGGGAGGCTGAGGTAGGAGAATGGCGTGAACCCAGGAGGCAGAGCTTGCAGTGAGCCGAGATCGCACCACTGCACTCCAACCTGGGTGACAGAGCAAAACTCTGTCTCAAAAAAAAAAAAAACAGTGTTTGTGCAAAGCCCTGAACTTTCACTGTGAGGCCACTGCTTTCACCCTTTATACCCAGAACTGCCTTTTATTGGGTCACAGCAGAAACATCATCAATGTATGACAGAATGGGGACTTACTGAACTGATTTTTGGGCTTTACTGTATTAGGAGAGCAGATGGGGCAGAGCTCAGGACAAGAGCAAAACCAAGGAAGGCATCCTGGAGAAGGGGACTGAGGAACAGGGCTAACTGATGGTAGAGAGGAGAGACAGGCTGGGCAAGGCTGAGCAGGAGGAAGGTGTGTGTCTCAGGTAGATGGAATGGACTGTGTGAGACTTAGGGTGGAAGAGGATGAACTGAGGGGGAGAGCAGGCTTGCCCAGTTCCAGCTGAGCATGAACCAAGGAGTGATGGGAGATGAGAGGAGATAGGAGTAGACAGATGCCCTGGCAGAGATGTCCTTGAAGCCCATGCCCAGCCCCCACTCTCCAGGTTCCCAGCCCAACAGCCTAGGCCTCTTACTGTAGCAAAGCAGCGCCAGGTGGATGGGATGTAGGGACGCCTCCTCTCTTGCACTGCCAAGGCCCATAGCTCATCAGAGGTAGGGGTTTTGCCCAGTTCTGCCTCATAGGCCAGTTGGAAGGGTGGTGGACTGCTGTCTGGAGGGAGTTAGAGGGGCTGGGTGTCAGTCCTAGGGGTGCCTACCATATAGAAAAGGCAAGACAGGGAAGAGCAGAGCTTTCTCAAGACCAGGTCAGGTTGGGGTGAACCTAGAATGGGTGAGGGGGAGCCCAGGGGAAGGGACTGTACCACTTATCCTTACCAGGCCTCAAATCTGGGCAGCGGCTCAGTATCTCCCACAGGAGCAGAGCCAAAGAGTAAATATCAGCTCGTCGGAGGGCCATGCCCCAATCCTGTAGGTCCAGAGTCTTGTCCAAGAGCTCTGGTGCCATGTACCTCTGGGTGCCAGCCTGGAGAGCAAGGCACGAAGGGCCAAGAATCATCTCTGTGGCAACCCTCATTGCAGCAATGGTCCATGCAATATCCCCAAACACAGACTCAGCAATGTCCCAAATGCTATAGGTATTGCTACAACTGTTGACACACAATGGCTGCCTTGCCATCAGCAGCACCACCATCATCCTGGGCCTCACCAGTTAGCCAGAGAACTCACTTCCATGATGGCAGCTGGGCCTTGTGGTTGAGTAGGGGTCCAGGCAGGGGGCTGAGTGAGGCCAGGGAGCACCAAGGCAAGGCCCAGGTCTCCAATGGCACACGATCCATCTTCCCGAATGAGCACATTCTGGCTGCTCAGATCTCGGTGGGCAATACCTGGTTTATATTGGCCTGTGGGGGAATCAAGGTCGAAGGAACATGGATGTTCTTCCTCCCTCTTTTTTTTTTTTTTTTTTTTTTGAGTCGGCATCTCGCTCTGTTGCTCAGGCTGGAGTGCAGTGTCACAATCTCGGCTCACTGCAACCTCCACCTCCCGGGTTCAAGCGATTCTCCTGCCTCTCAGCCTCCCGAGTAGCTGGGACTACAGGCACGTGTCACCACGACTGGCTAATATTTTGTATTTTTAACAGAGACGGGGTTTCACCGTGTTAGCCAGGATGGCCTCGATCTCCTGACCTCATGATCCGCCTGCCTCGGTCTCCCAAAGTGTTGGGATTAAAGGTGTGAGCCACCGCGCCTGGCTCTTCCTCCCCCTTTTGACCCAATCCTTCCCCTCCAAACTAAGGGAGAATCAGAAACATAGCAGTGTGGCTGCCTTGACTTCCTATGCCCAGCTCACCCACCATTCTGCCAGCGCTCCTCATGGAGAAATGCCAGGCCCTGGGCCAGGGACAGTGCCATCCTCAGGGAACTTCCCCAGTCACTGGTGTGCTGGGTCAAGTAGTGGTACAGGGAGCCCTGGGAAAAAACAGAGAGAAAAGGACAGTACACAAAGCTAGAGGTGGCTGATCCATCCCAGGGAGCAGAGATCAATTGACAGTCTTCTCCCTGCATCTCCCCAGCAGACAGACACACTGACGGATGCTGGCCAAGACAATAGGTAGAAGGAGTAAGACTGTGCATCAATTGACATGAAAAATAGTAACTCGAGATCAAGGTTACTAGGCACTTACCGTGGTCCAGGCCCAGTGGATGTGGCCTCCTGTAATCCTTGTGACAACCCTAGGAGGTAGGTCTTCCTGTCACACCCCCATTTAACAGATGAAGAGCTTTTCCTCAGAGAACTAAGGAAACTCGCTTGAAGTCAGTCGGTGAGGCAGGAGTGGAGCTTGAATCCAAGCAGTCTGACTCAAGATCACTTACTAATAACCACCAGCTTATACTGACTCAGAAAATGTGGGGCAAAGACAGTAACAGAGGAGGCAGGGTAAGCTAGTCAGGGGCATCCCTCATGAGCCACCTTGTCTGAGGTGTCAGGCATGTGTACACATAGACAGGCAGAGCCAGTAGATAACAGAGTAGCAGGTGGAGGGCAAGTGGGAATTGGAGGGAAGGGAGCAATAGAACCCCTCATTCGACAAGTGTCATCGAGTACCTTCAGTGGCCATGAGTTGTGTGCAGGCACCAAGATGGCTCAGATGAGAAGGTAAGAGATAAAGAATGCAGTAAACCCCAAGATGGGAAAATTAACCAAGTGCCAAGGGGCATAAAGCAAGAATGACTAACACTGCCTGGAGAAGTCAGAGAAATTTAAACAAACAAACAAAAAAACAGTGATTTTTGAGCTGGGCCAGGAGGTATGTGGTCAAAGAGGGGATTTTCCATCATTCAAGATTTCAGAGGTGCAGAAGCTATAGGGGCTGAAAAAGTCCAGGGAAGAGCCACTGCATTTAGGCACTGAAACAGGTGGTGGAGGTTGAACTACTTACAATAGGGCAAAGTGAGTTGTGGGGAGCTCTTCTACGTGGACAGAGACACACACAGTCCTGGTGGAGGGGTAAACAGGAGGCAACAGACATGATGATGAGGAGCCAGCTCTAGAGTCACATAGATTCTGGGCAAATGACTTTCCTTTTCTGAGCCCCATGTGGATAATCATTCCTAACTCATAATGTGTTTGCAAAGGGTGTGTTTGGAAATGTTTAAAGTGTGTAGCATGGCCGGGCGGGGTGGCTCACACCTGTAATCCCAGCACTTTGGGAGGCCGAGGCAGGCGGATCACTTGAGGTCAGGAGTTTGAGACCAGCCTGGCCAACATGGTGAAATCCCATATCTACTAAAAATACAAAAATTAGCCAGGAGTAAGTAGTGGCGGCACACCTGTAATCCCAGCTACTCGGGTGGCTGAGGCAGAATTGCTTGAACCCAGGAGGCAGAGGCTGCAGTGAGCTGAGATCGTGCCACTGCATTCTAGCCTGGGCAACAGAATGAGACTCTGTCAAAAAAAAAAAAAAAAAAAAAAAGTGGGTAGTGTAATGCCTAGCAGGAAGCAGATGGGAAATGGTATGAAAGCTTTAAAAGTCCCAAATCTTTAGAAAAAAAAAAAAAAAAAAAGTGGGTAGTGTAATGCCTAGCAGGAAGCAGATGGGAAATGGTATGAAAGCTTTAAAAGTCCCAAATCTTTAGCAGGCCCATAGGGCCTGGTGTGGCTGGCTGGCCTCTGCCTACCTTTTCCTCTTCTTTTTGCTCATTGCTCTCCCCTTCAAGTCACATCTTATTATTCTTATAATTCAGTGGCCCTCTCTTCTAGCACTTAGCACACTTGACATTTGACACTTGTGTTTACTTGATCCATTTCTGTCTCCCCTGCTAGTCTATAAAATCTGTAAAGGCAGGGATTGTGTTTTTTCTGGCCTCTAGCATAGTGTCTGACATATAGTTCATAATTATTTGTTGAATGAATATATGAATGTACATTTTTTTAATAATATATTTAATTGGAAAGAAGAAGACAAGGCTATCCCCCACGGAGCATGGGCATAGCCTTGCTCCACTGCACTCCCTCCCTGTTCAAGCATTCCCCTCCCTAAGGCCTCACCACGTTTTAAAGCTGGAATCGAAGGTGCTGGCCACCACGCCTGGCTAATTTTTGAGACAAAATTAGTAGAACAGGGTTTCACCATGGTTGCCAGGCTGGTTTCCGAACTCTGACCTCAAAGTGATCCACCCATCCAGCCCCACAAAGTCTGGATTACAGGGCGATGACACTGTGCCCAGCCAAAAAAAAAAAAAAAATAAAATGTTGGCGGGCCACGGTGCCCACGCTTGTAATCCCACACTGGGGAGCGCCAGACGGCCAGAATCACGAGTCAGGAGATCGAGACCATCCTGGCTAACACGGTGCGAAACCTCGTCTCTACTAAAAATACATTAAGAAAATTACCCGGCATGTGGCGGGCCCAGTACCAGCAGGCCCAGCTACACGGGAGGCTGAGGCAGGAGATGGCGTGCAACCGTGAAAGCAGGCTTGCAGTGAGTGGAGATCGCCACCTGCACTCCAAGCCGCTGGGTGACCAAAGCAAGACTCCCCCATCTCAAAAAAAAAAAAAACAATGTATAAGAAATATCAGCAACAACCCTCCAAACCC